AGTAGTAGTAGTAGTAGTAGTAGTAGAAGCAGTAGTAGTAGTAATAGTAGTAGTAGTAGTAGTAGCAGTAGTAGTAGTAGTAGTAGTAGTGGTAGTAGTAGTAGTAGTAGTAGTCGTAGTAGCAGCAGCAGCAAAAGAAGTAAAAGTAGTAGTAGTAGTAGTAGTAGTAGTAATAGTAGTAGTTGTTGTTGTTGTAGTAGTAGTAGCAGTAGCAATAATAACAGTAGTAGTGGCAGCCGTAGTAGTAGCAGCAGTAATTGTTGTGGTTGCTGCTATAGTAGTGGTAGTAGTAATAGTAGTAGTAGTAGTAGTAGTAGTAGTAGTAGTGGTGCTAGTGCTAGTAGTAGTAGTAGTTGTCGTCGTCGTCGTCGTAATAGTAATAGTAGTAGTCGTCGTAGTCGTAGTAGTAGTAGTAGTAGTAGTAGTAGCAGCAGGAGTAGTAGTAGTAGTAGTAGAAGTAGTTGTTGTTGTGTTGTAGTAGTACTGGTAGCAGCTGTAGTAGTAGTAGTAGTAGTAGTAGTAGTAGTTGTTGTTGTCGTCGTCGTCGCCGTCGTCGTAGTCGTAGTCGTAGTAGTAGTAGTAGTAGTAGTAGTAGTAGCAGTAGCAGTAGTAGTAGTAGTACGTAGTAGTACGTAGTAGTAGCAGCAGCACTAGCACTGGCAGTAGTACTAGTAGTAGTAGTAGTAGTAGTAGTAGAAGCAGTAGAAGTAGTAGTAGTCGTAGTAGTAGGAGTAGTAGAAGTAGAAGTAGAAGTAGAAGTAGAAGTAGAAGTAGAAGTAGAAGTAGACGTAGACGTAATTAGTGGCAGTGGTAGTGGTAGTGGTCGTGATCGTGGTCGTGGTAGTGGTAGTGGTAGCGGTAGCAGCAGTAGCCGCAAAGGCATTATGAGCAGTTGTACTAGTTGCAGAAGTGGCTCTGCGCCTCTTGTTGTCTTGGTCGGACTACGACCAGCATCCTGAAGTCTACTCTGACCGTCTGGTAAGCCTGCAGACGCCAGGTTCTGTCGCTGCGAGAAAGCTGGGATGCCGACTTTGCTGCGTGAGACACGCGATATACCTCTGCTAAGATGTCGGCTTCGAAGTTCGATGGCGTAGCGCTCGGTTTTTAAGGCTTCCAGGTGTACAAGTGTCTTTTATGAGGTCTCTTGCCGAATGCTTCTGTTGCAAGATATGCGGAACCGCACCGGGCACCAAGTACTAAAATGCATGAACAGTTATGTTGCTTTGTTGTTTACATGTACACCGAATAGTATGTACATACACATAGACATATATATATATATATATATACATATATACACATATACACATGCACATGCAAATAAATGCAAATGGGCACACATGCGTCGGTACATCCACAGATGGGACCTGTGTATGGTGTTTTGCACCTGGTACCCTCATACCTTACTGTCCAGGACCGCATTTCATTAGATGTGCTCACTGCACCGTACAAATTTGCATGTTTCAACTTCAACTGACTCTATTGCCTCGCAGTATACAGATATGATATTCTGCGAGGTTGTCCACCAGAAGTATACGCATATGTACAAACATATGTATGAGCGGATATAGAGGAATAGGGCCATCACTCGAGAAATCTATGATTGTACTTATGCATACGGGAAGTCTCCACAATAAAGTTTCGTTGCATGCACTGTCTGCAGCTCTGGTGAAACCAATCTACTTGAATGAGCCATAACTCTTCTGGACGATGGACTTGTGGAGGAGTAGTTAAACAACATGGAGTACGACTAACGTTCGGTCCGTCACAGTGGTGGATGCACGTGTATGTACTCCATTCAGATATCAATACTGATACAGAGATCGATAAACATATGGGCTACACATGCAGATACAGATATAGTAAGAGATAGACATGCAGATACAGGTATAGATACAGGCACGAGTGCACATATAGATATAGATACAGATGTGGTTTTAGATATATATAAAGACATAGAGATGGACGTAGAACTAGAGATAGAGACAGATATAGATATAGATATAGATGTAGATATGCACACAGAGCTGGTGCTGTTCCTATTCTGGGCTGACCGCCCTGTCAGTCATAATTATGCGCTGTCATCAAGCTGTTGCCGTGTTTAGAAGGTTTCTTTATCGTTTCACGATGCAAAGATCAGGAAGTAATATGTCATGTTCGAAGCTCTTGCGGCACATGTCTCGTCACATGAAGAGACCCGTCTTATAGAGTATATGTACGTACCGCCAATTGCCTTGGGTACAGTACTGCAATGGAATATGCTCACGTCTGTGCCAATACCTAGTATGCCTCTTCCTTAGCAAACTTGCTGTACCTACAAAAACCATCTCGTTCTTCATGCTCCTGAAAATCCTTATGGAAGTGCTCTCTGTACTTGCCTGTATCACTCTACGCTGCTGTGCCTTCTTGCTGACTGATACGTAGGACGAATGCTGAAAAGAAGCACACAACAATGGGAAATTCGATGGCTTTACAATATGTTTCTGCATCCTGTCGGCTGCGGATATGTAACAGCACATCTTACTATACGCGAGTAGCCTATTCTTGAACAGAAACCTTTTGGGGTCTAGTATAGACATACATGTATATGCAGTGTTTGCCATTGTGACTGCGATGTACTGTATCATTACACGTACTACTTTGGAATATGGCTGTTACTATCACATGTGCGTGAATAGAATAAGTACACTTCAAGATGCGCCACTGCACGCTGCGGTGGAACTAGCATGTCTGGTCTGTAACCACCCAAGCTCGTCAGTACTGGAACTCGAACTACCTGAACTCTTGTTCTTTTGTGCCCGGTTCCAATATAGTGGGACCCTTGCTGCATCTTCTTGTACATGCCTACGGTGGTGTAATTCAGCCACGGTGTGTCCATATGCAGCTCGGCTGCAGGGCAAGCATGACCATTTTCCTCGGCTCAGCTACAAGGCATAGACATCAGTTTGGATGTCAGGATGCTAAATCAGCTGGGAAAAATAACGACGGCATGCCAACAACAGGTATGACGATAGGCTAGGCCGTCACAACGAGATGCATGCCTGCGGAACGTATGAAGACGATGACGAAGTCTACGTGGATGTCACTCACCAAGAGCCGTGATGGTGATCAAGATAAAGAATGTAATTTCCATGATGCTGCTGGTGACGATAGAGGTGATGATGATCCCGACAATCTTGATGCCAGCGATGACGATAAGATAATCGTGATAGAGTGTGTCATGTTATGGCCGTGAGAGCAAACATGGTCAGACGGATGACATTTGTCATTGCCCTTCTGTAGCAAGGGTGCTGGCTATAGCAGGCTGCCATTCCCTCTTGGCAGCAACGTGCTTCATCGCAACGCGAAAGCAGCCGCAAAAATCGGAAAATTTGGGTTGTTCACATACGTCAGACTTTGTCAACACCCCGTGTCACCACCAACTATGACGAAAACTTCAACCACCACGGCTACCTGCTGCTACTATTCCAGCACTACATCGGCTGTATACTGCACACTGCTGTTACTACTGTTGCACCTCTGCTACCAACAGCTCTGCTTCCATTGCCACCCAAGCCTCTGTCGGAACGGCTTCTTCACATAAATCGGGGAGTCGGGCATTCTGATCGCCTAAATCTGCCGGAGCTTTGCGCAAGTGTCATGGAGCTTGCAGAGCTCTCCTACGGGAACCTGCACGGCATCTCCGTAACCGCAAGCCCTGACCCAACCAAGCTCACAGGTTTCCACGCTGCATCCACGTCATTCAACCCTACAAAACCCCTCTTAATATAGGGGCCTTAATAACTAGATTAGGATTTCGGGGTACATTATACTTTATGTGTAATAAGGGACCCCCAAAATAGTATTGGTAATTATGTAGGCCCCTACATTAAACCCGCAAACCCTGGAAGCTCCCCCACACTTCCTCGAAGAGCGGCTTTGCGGACGAGCTCACAAAGGGCCAAGATGTAGAGGATGGTAAAGTAGGTGTGGCCGGAGTAGAGCATGTCCTAGCTAGAATTTAGGCAGTTTATGGCATAGGGTTTAGGGCTGACAAAGCACGCTATGCGTGGGAACACAGCTCTTTCCGCTCGTTGCACCCAGCGAGCTCACTGGAGGCTGTTCACATCAGATTGCAAACGCAGCACGGAAGTCTCCAGTGGCGCTGACCGTCCCATGCCAGCCAAGCCACTGCGCAAAAGCGCATGCCAGCTCCAATCCTAGCAAACATGTCGCCACTTGCTTTTGTCCACTCAATCAGGTTAACAGGCTGAGGCTGGCACCGATTCTGTTCAGGACCCGCCAGCTCAACTCCAAGAATTGCCATGAAGGCCGTCCACCTTCCCAAGATCACGTGCTTTGGAAATCAGACGGAGGCCTGAGAAGGGGAGGCGAGTTCCTCGAACCTGTCGTCAAACTTAGAAACGACATCCTCAGGCCAGTCGTCTCGTCGTCGTGCCCGTGGTGATCGTGGTTGTGGTCGCCCTCCTCGTCATGGCCCTCGTCGTTCTTGGGCCACAGTGTCATGGTGTTACTTGACTAGTGACGGGTCGGCGGTGGTGATGATGCCAACAGCAACCCTGAAGGGGGGTCGGTGAAAGAGGAACGGGGTGGGTGGTGTCGATTGAGGTAGAGAGGCGGGGAGGTAGCCCGAAGCCCAAGCCCCGAAGCCCCAGACCCTGGCTCTGAAAACCGATCGAAAATTGAAACTCGATTTCAGCCCCCCTAGCACGGGAGCAAGGACAGAGCTCGAGCCCCGCACATGCCGTGTGCGCTAGGATCCGGCACCTCGGATCGAGGTTGCCTGTTTGTTCCAGGTCTTCTGTGGTGAGTTTACCCGGGTCTGGCTGGGGTTTCGGATTAAGGCTCTGTAAGCCAGCTCTACACGGTTTTCTAGTGTTTGTTGCGAGTTGGGAGATCGTTAGAGTTGAGGTCTAAGCGTTTAGGTTGTGGTCCAAAGCCTTCCTCTGAAGCCTCATATAACAACCCTTCAGGCTAGTCGAGACAGCCTGAGCCCCCGCACCCGATTCATGAAGAAGTCCACGCCAGACGGGCCCAGACGCGCCTGCCAGGGTTTGACTTTGTTTTCTTCACCTCGTTGTCTGCGAAGCACGGTAGAAGGATTTGGGTTCAGGGTCAGCTTCTTAAATGCACCGGAAGTTTGGAGCAGAGTTGGAGGGCTTGGCGCTTAGGATTACTATTATTACTATTATTACTATTATTACTATTATTTCTATTATTACTGTTATTACTATTACTATTATTATTACTATTATCATTATTGCTATTTGTTTCGGAGAACAGGTTTTAATACGCAGTGTGCCGTGGTGTCCAGGCTCGGGCCTGCCTTGCAGTTTGCCCATCCAATGCTATCCGGCATAATGGTGACCACGCCGAAGACGCCTTTGCCGATGGCCAGAACCTGGCTTCCGCGTGTAGAATCTGCAGGGCTTACATACGGCTTAGGGGCTACCGACCGTATAGAGCATAGGGTTTAGGACTGCAGGGCCCTTCACCTTAGACCGGCAACTGCAACAGCAATTCAGATTACCCACGGGATGCTTCCAAGTGGCGGAGTGGCTCAGGAGGACCTTCGTCCACTGCTGCACATCCCGCAAGTACATTACCTGCTAGATCACACTGGGAAGGGAGGCGGGGATCATGACACGAAAAGCCATCCGGCCCCAAACCATAGACCCGAAACCCGAA